TATAATATATATATATATATATAATATATATATATATATATATATATATATATATATATATATTATATATATGTCGTGCCGAATATGTAAAACTGGTCAATTAGCATGAACTCATTTAAAATTAAGTCCTTTCTAAAAATTTTATCTTGTACGTTTAAAGATATATTTTTTTTCATTAATGCTAATACAAAATTTTTCATTTTTGCACCAAAAGAATCTTAGAAAACTTGCCTAACCTTATTATAACAAGAACAATTTATTTTAGCCTAACCCAGCTAAATATATTTTAGATTTGTTTACAATAATTTAATACTAAGCAAACACAGTGAAATATATTTTTTTCGTAAGGTTCAGAATGATTTTGGCGAAATTATTGCATACACAAATTTTCACTTGTCCTATATGGCAAGATGAGCGTTGCTATTTAAGCCAAGATCGCAAGTTCTGCCTATTCGGCACGATATAATATATATATTTTTAATATATTTATATATATATATATTTATATATATATATATATAATATATATATATATTAATATATATATATATAAAAAAATAATATTATATTATATAAATAATATATATATAAATATAAATAATATAATATATATATAAATAATTTATATATATATTATATATATATATATATAATATATAATATATATATTTATATATTATTAATATATATATATATATATATATATATATGGCAAAGCAACACTGTTAAGAGTAGTCACGAAAGCGCTTGGAATTTCACTACTCTTTCACAGTGGTTGCTTTGCATATTTTAAAATCACTGTTTACTGTGATCTTATTGCATATATATATATATATATATATATATATATATATATATAATATATATATATATATATATATATATATATATATTTATATATATATATATATATATATAGTAGGTTGGTAGACAGCATCCACCAGGGAGGTACTACCATCCTGCCAAGTGAGTGTAAAACAAAAGCCTGTAATTGTTTTACATGATGGTAGGATTGCTGGTGTCTTTTGTGTGTCTCATAAATATGCAAGATTACAGGTACGTCTTGCTACTTCTACTTACACTTAAGTCACACTACACATACATGTACATGTTTATTTATACACACTCATCTGAGTTTTCTTTCATTTTATCTTAATAGTTCTTGGTCTTATTACTTTTCCTTTTATATCCATGGGGAAGTGGAATAAGAATCTTTCCTCCGTAAGCCATGCGTGTTGTAAAAGTCAACTAAAATGCCGGGAACAATGGTCTACTAACCCCTTTTCCTGTAATAATTACTAAAAAGAATAAGAAGAAAATTGCCAAAGTGGGAAGTCTGAATGTGCGTGGATGTTGTGCAAATGATAAGAAAGAGATGATTGTGGATGTTATGAATGGAGACAAGAAACTGGATGTCCTGGCTTTAAGTGAAACAAAGCTGAAGGGGGTGGGAGAGTTTCAGTGGAGAGGAATAAATGGAATTAGGTCAGGGGTTTCAAATAGAGTTAGAGCTAAAGAAGGAGTAGCAATAATGTTGAAGGATAAGTTATGGCAGGAAAAGAGGGACTATAAATGTATTAATTCAAGGATTATGTGGAGTAAAATAAAGGTTGGATGTGAAAGTGGGTTATAGTAAGAGTATATGCACCTGGAGAGAAGAGGAAGTGTAGAGGATGAGAGAGAGAGAGAGAGAGAGAGAGAGAGAGAGGAGAGGAGAGAGAGAGAGGAGGAGAGAGAGAGAGAGAGAGAGAGAGGAGAGAGAGAGATTTTGGGAAATATTGAGTGAATGCGTGGGGAGTTTTGAACCAAGTGTGAGAGTAATGGTGGTTGGGGATTTCAATGCTAAAGTGGGCAAAAATGTTGTGGAGGGAGTAGTAGGTAAATTTGGGGTGACAGGGGTAAACGAAAATGGGGAGCCTTTAATTGAGCTATGTGCAAAAAGAGTTTTGGTAATAAGTAATACATATTTTATGAAGAAGAGCATAAATATACAAGGTATGATATAGCACGTAATGAAAGTAGTTTGTTAGATTATGTATTGGTGGATAAAAGGTTGATGGGTAGGCTCCAGGATGTACACGTTTATAGAGGGGCAACTGATATATCGGATCATTATTTAGTTGTAGCTACAGTTATAGTAAGAGGTAGATGGGAAAAAGAGGAAAATGGCAACAACAAGCAAGAGGGAGGTGAAAGTGCATAAACTAAAGGAGGAGTAAGTTCGGGTGAGATATAAGCAACTATTGGCAGAAAGGTGGGCTGGTGCAAGTATGAGTAGTGGGGAGGGGGGGTTGAAGAGGGTTGGAATAGTTTTAAAAATGCAGTATTAGAATGTGGAGCAGAAGTTTGTTGTTATAGAAGAGTGGGTGCAGAAGGAAAGAGGAGTGATAGGTGGAATGATGAAGTAAAGGGTGTGATGAAAGAGAAAAAGGTAGCTTATGAGAGGTTTTTACAAAGCAGAAGTGTTATAAGAAGAGCAGAGAGTTAAATTATGGGGAATGAAATACAAAATGGGAATTGACACAGTTGCTTTTTGCTGTTGATACTGTGCTTATGGGAGATTCTAAAGAAAAATTTCAAACTTTAGTTGATGAGTTTGGGAGTGTGTGTAAAGGTAGAAAGTTGAAAGTGAACATAGAAAAGAGTAAGGTGATGAGGGTATCAAATGATTTAGATAAAGAAAAATTGGATATCAAATTGGGGAGGAGTAGTATGGAAGAAGTGAATGTTTTCAGATACTTGGGAGTTAATGTGTCAGCGGATGGATTTATGAAGGATGAGATTAATCATAGAATTGATGAGGGAAAAAAGGTGAGTGGTGCGTTGAGGTATATGTGGAGACAAAAAACGTTATCTATGGGGGGCAAAGAAGGGAATGTATGAAAGTATAGTAGTACCAACACTCTTATATGTGTGTGTGAAGCTTGGGCTGTGAATGCAGCAGCGAGGAGGCAGTTGGAGGCAGTGGAGATGTCCTGTCTAAGGGCAATGTGTGGTGTAAATATTATGCAGAAAATTCGGAGTGTGGAAATTAGGAGAAGGTGTGGAGTTAATAAAAGTATTAGTCAGAGGGCTGAAGAGGGGTTGTTGAGGTGGTTTGGTCATTTAGAGAGAATGGATCAAAGTAGAATGACATGAAGAGCATTTAAATCTGATGGAAAAGGAAGGCGGGGTAGGGGTCGTCCTCGAAAAGGTTGGAAGGAAGGGGTAAGGGAGGTTTTGTGGGCGAGTGGCTTGGACTTCCAGCAGGCGTGTATCAGCGTGTTCGTTAGGAGTGAATGGAGACGAATGGTATTTGGGACCTGACGATCTGTTGGAGTGTGAGCAGGGTAATATTTAGTGAAGGAATTCAGGGAAACCGGTTATTTTTATATAGCCGGACTTGAGTCCTGGAAATGGGAAGTACAATGCCTGCACTCTAAAGGAGGAGTTTCGGGATATTAGCAGTTTGGAGGGATATGTTGTGTATCTTTATACGTATATATTTCTAAACTGTTGTGTTCTGAGCACCTCTGCAAAACAGTGATTATGTGTGTGTGAGGTGAAAGTGTTGAATGATGAAAGTATTTTCTTTTTGGGGATTTTCTTTCCTTTTGGGTCACCCTGCCTCGGTGGGAGACGGCAGACTTGTTGAAAAAATATATATATATGTTATGCCGAATAGGCAGAACTTGCGATCTTGGCTTAAATAGCAACCTTCATCTTGCCATATAGGACAAGTGAAAATTTTTGTATGCAATAATTTCGCCAAAATCATTCTGAACCTAACGAAAAAAATATATTTCACTGTGTTTATTTAATATTTAATTATTGTAAACAAATCTAAAATATATTTAGTTGGATTAGGCTAAAATAAATTGGGCTTGTTAAAATAAGGTTAGGTAAGTTTTCTAAGATTCTTTAGGCGCAAAATTATAAATTTTTACATCAACATTAATGAAAAAATATATCTTTAAACGTACAAGAGAAAATTTTAGAAAGGACTTAATTTTAAATGAGTTCTTGCTAATTGACCAGGTTTACATATTCGGCACGACATTATATATATAATATATATATATATATATATATATATATATATATATATATATATATATATATATATATATATATATATATAAAACTGGTCAATTAGCAAAAACTCATTTAAAATTAAGTCGTTTCTAAAATTTTCTCTTATACGTTTAAAGATATATATTTTTTTCATTTATGTTAATGTAAAAATTAACAGTTTTGTACCAAGAGAACCTTAGGAAACTTACCTAACCCTATAACAAGCGCAATTTAATTTAGCCTAATCCAACTAAATATATTTTAGGATGATTTTTGCGAAATTATTGCATACATAAATTTTCGCTTGCCGTATCGCTTGGTAAAAGATTTTTGCTGTCACAAAGAATGCATAATCAGTACTATGAGAAAAGAATAGCAAAAATATGCATAAAATCATAAGGAGCTTCAGCGCGAAGCTGGACTGTGCAGAAATTTTGCCAACCAGTTTCTCATGTCTGAAGAATGTTTCTGATATTCAGCTGCCACAAGACCTGCGATGTTATCTTTCCATTATATGATAGTATTAAGATGGAAACACTTAGGACAGATGAAGGAGAATCAAGAGTTTTATAATTACAACTAACGAGAGACCTTACACAAGACAAAAACACACTTCTGATATTACAGGAGACTAACACCTGTTTCTGTGTTGCTACAAAGATATATCCTTCACAAGACATCCTCCAATAAGATGCCTATCTACCTGCTGTTAAATGTCTTCATATTTCAGCGGGGCATCGTTTCCAGTTCTTGGACCAGGCCTCCTGGGTGAAAGCTTAATCAGTCAGGCATAAAAATCTATTTACTTATTATGAAGCGCTAAATCCGTAAATCGAGAAAAGTACACACTAGAAACCTTCAGGTAGCGTGCCTTCATGATGGTGAAGACTCTTAATACAAGCATTACAATAATAATACTAGGTGGCAGGATAGATCACGTTACTCACCTCGAAGGAGAGTTTGCCTATGGTAGACCACTGCAGCGTAGAAATAAGCTTCCTCGACGTGTGTAGTGGACCTGGCTCCTCCTGCAACACGCACACACATACACCTTCAAACTTGTATATAAATACACCATCTTTGTCTTTATATTTAACTACCCCCCCCCCTTCCCCGGACGAACAAGAAAAAACAATAGAACCAGTCAAGATAGCATCATGGGTTTTAAAAGAATGCGCAGAAAAACTAAGCTATGCGCTGAAGATTTTTTTTTTTTCAAAATTTCACAACAAGGAAAATTAGCACTGAAATGAAAGATGGCACAATGTGTCAATACTCAAAGAGGAAAATCCTTTAAACTGCAGATGTGTTTCGCTGACTGCAGTTGTCAAAATACTGAAAAAAAATAGAAAAAATGCAAATCTCGTGAAGAGAAGTTGATGAACATTTTTGATGATGGTTAGTAGGCGGTCACTAGTTACTCAGCCAAGGTGCCAAGGTACGTAAGGTTTACGTTAAAGGTGGCATCTTGCCAACAGTAAAGAAATAAATGAATTAAAACCCTTCACTAGAGGTGCCCTGATGCTGGTGAAAAGCTGTTGGTTCAGGGAACTGGAGCTGCTCTTCACGCCCCTTGAAATAGTAAAGTCCTAACTCTTCATAACTTCAAAAAATAGTCTTGGCGCTCCCTAACTTCATAAATTAATATTTTATCAACTTATAATGTCCTTAATTAAGCTCTACACTGAGTGAAAAGTTGTCCCAACAAAAGTTCATTCTGCATATTACCTCTATTTCCAAACGTGTCATCATAACGCCTGAAGTTACAATGGCGTTTAACGGCGACAAGAAACATACGAGGTAACTAACTACCCACCCAATGGATTGATAAAGTCATTGGATGGTGAAATGTTTCCTGAATAATATGACCTCGTTAACGGATACGTATCTTACACACAGGATTGCGTTTCTACATCCGGACTCACCTCCAGCAGGTTGTGAGAGTAATACAAGACTCACCTCCAGCAGGTTGTGAGAGTAATACAAGACTCACCTCCAGCAGGTTGTGAAAGTAATACAAGACTCACCTCCAGCAGGTTGTGGGAGTAATACAAGACTCACCTCCAGCAGGTTGTGAGAGTAATACAAGACTCACCTCCAGCAGGTTGTGAGAGTAATACAAGACTCACCTCCAGCAGGTTTGAGTAGTATAAGACTCACCTCCAGCAGGTTTGAGTAGTATAAGACTCACCTCCAGCAGGTTGTGAGAGTAGTATAAGACTCACCTCCAGCAGGTTGTGAGAGTAGTATAAGATTCACCTCCAGCAGGTTGTGAGAGCAGCATAAGACTCACCTCCAGCAGGTTGTGAGAGTAGCAACTATTACAATGTTTAAAATACATTTCTTTTAAATTACTGATGTAAAA